TCTGCCAACACATCCTACGATAGCGCCATTCACATTCCCTACTCATCCCACCTTTGCGCCATTTACTTTCCCCACACATCCAACGTTTCCACCCTATTCTCCGTCTCTGCCTTTTGGCTCTCAGGCTCCTACTCTTCTCCCACAACAAACCGAGACCGGACAATCTGCTCAGCCATTTGGCTCACAAACCCCACCTCAACTTCCGCAGCCTCACACAGAGTCTAGCCTTCTACCATTTGGATCTCAGACAATCCCACAAATTCCACAGCCTCAGGGCAGTCAGATTCCCCAACCAGAGCCACAGCCACAGCAGCAGTTTGCAGCTCAATCACAGCTTCCACAGACTTCTGCACTGCCTGCATCACCAGCGCACTCACAGTTTACCTTCCCACCTCATCCGACCATCCACTCACATCTCTTCCAACCATCTGGCCAGCCACAACAGCAGTATGGCCACTCAGAGCAGCCGCAGTTCGGTCAACAGCAGCAATTCCAACAATTCCAACAGTTCGGGCAAGTTCAACAACCACAGGTACAGCCACAGCAGCAACAGCAATTCGGACAGCAGCAATTTGTACAACAACAAGTGGCGCCAGCTCAATACCAACATCCCTTTGGTCAGCACCAGTTCACTCAGCAGGGTCAAACTCAAGGGCAGCAAGTTCAACCTAGTCAGACGCAGCTTCCTCAACAACCATTCCAACAGCCATTCCCACATCACCAACAAGTACAGCAACAGGGGCAGCAGTTCCAACAGCAACAAGGAGCTTTGCAGCAGCATGAACTCCCACATCAGCACTTCTCCCAACAACAACAACAGGGATCCCAACAACATCAGCTGTTCCCACAACAGCAAAATGGACTCCCACAACTGCACCTTCCACTACAACGCCCGGAAATCCCTCCACCAGCAAAAATCGGTCAACCACAACAGCAACAACAACCGTTCCAACCGTCGATTGATTCACAAGCTCAGCAATTTACTAAGGCCGCTACGAACCAACAACAAGGAGTACCACAACAACGATTTGAGCAGGTACATAGCATTGGAACCTCTATTTGCCACTTATTTCTGGGATTTGCTTGATTTCCATATTTATTCGCTTGTATTTCGATATGCTGCCATTCTCGAACCATCAGAACTAATTATACGGCCCTGGGCCCCTGTAAAAGGAGGGGGGGGG